TCCAAAACAGTACTTGTGAAACAAAATGGAATTCTCAGCATTTCACTACAGTATCGCATCCAGTTCATACATTAACAATAAATAAAATTCTAAATAGATTATGGGTAGTCACAGTTAATGTTAACAGTGACATATTAGCATATCGGTAGCAAAGCCAAAAGTGAATAGAATGTTTGAAAGTGTTAGGAAAGTAGATACTAGCATATTTGCTGGCGTAAGCGGTAACAAAAGGTCAAGATAATAAAAACAAAGAAACAAAAACTAAAAAAGAAGAAAACGAAGAAAGAGAAAGAGAACGTTGCACCTATAAATGATATGAGTTGGAAAGACGAGATCCAATTGTTCTATTGACTATTTAATAAGTTATAAGTTTCACTCCTAATGCTTTCTTTATTGCACAGAACACGAGCCAAGTAAGGGGTTTGGTTGAGTTTTTTTACTTGTTAATGCGAGCATATAGTTTTCTATATGGGCTTCTGGTTTTGCTTGATGAGATACACGGGGAGAGTTGTGAATGAAGAGGGTGGTGTCAGTTGGATAGAATGGATTTAGCCCATTTTTCACATAAGTCCATGTGCCTGTCGACCAGAATATTAACAAGCTGGTTAAGTGGCACATTGCCTACCCTACTAACAACCTTTAACACCGTACGTAATGAGATATAGTCCTCCTTCAAAAGCCTTGGTAAAACTAAGGGGGAACAATAGAGAATAATAGGCAGGATGCAAGAGCTAACGAATCGTAAGAGTAAGGGTTGGGTTATTCCAGAATGTCATAACTTCTTGATGTGGAAGGTAAGACGGAATATTTTCTTAGAAATCGCCAAGGTATGAGACGACCAGGAGAGATCACCAGATAGAATGACGCCTAGGTATTTAATTTCCGACTTGGTTTCTATTTCAGTGCCATCTATGTTGCATACCTCGTGAGAGCCAACCAGTTTGTTTAGGTCGGATTTATGTCTCAAGGTGAAATTGACTATTTGACATTTAGAGGGGTTTGAGGCTAGACCGTTTTCCTTGGACCACTGGCTGATTTCTGATAAAAAGCCATTTAGTTTGGAGCAGTCACTTTCACAGATCGTTAGCGTATATAAAAAAATTAATGTCATTTGAAGATGTTGAGTCATGTAGAAAGAAAGAGAAGAGAAGTGGGGAGAGTACAGCACCTTGGGGGACACCAGCTTCAATGAGCACAGCAGAGGAGTATTTACCTTTGTATACAGTGTACTGCATTCTGTTTGACAAATAGGAATGCAACCGGTTAGTGACCCAGGACTCAGTTTGTGTCATCGAGAGCTTATTTAGCGAAAGACATCTAGGTACAGATTCAAAAGCAGAAGTGAAGTCGAGAAACGTGCAACGAACGTATTAGGCACCTTTATCTAATGATGAAAAACTCGCCTAGATTACTAGGTCACTAGTATTCTAGCCGGTCCCAAGCCCGGATAAAGAGGGAGGGTTGGGGCGTGATGCTAGCAACTCCACCCCCAAAACTTAACCAAATTGCTACTAAAACTTCAACGCACAAATATATTCAAAATTCTAAAAATACTAACAATGACCTTACTTCTCTCTGGAATCGGGGAAGTGAAATGACGCAGGCTTGTGAAAGCCTTCGGGAAGCCAGTCAGCCGATGTGCCTTCTTTCGATGAGAGCAAAAATAAGGATGGGGACGTGGAATATTCGTACAATGTACGAAAGCGGAAAGGCTGCTCAGGTAGCCGCAGAAATGAGGAGATATAAAATAGAAGTGTTGAGAATCTGCGAGAGCAGATGGAACGGATGCGGAAGGAGCCAACTACCAACTGGAGAGACAATAATCTACTCCTGTCACCCAGAGGACGATCACGAGCACACTGAGGGAGTAGCCATCATGATGTCACCAACAGCGGCTAAAGCTCTCATGCAGTGGGAACCAATCTCCTCCAGAATAATGACAGCCACGTTCAACTCAAAAGGAAAAAAGGTTACAATCATTCAATGCTATGCACCTACAAACGTCTCAGAAAAAAAGAAGAAGGAGGATTTCTACAGTCAACTACAAACAGTAATGGACAACGTCCCAAAGAGCGATATCAAAATCCTGATGGGTGACATGAATGCGAAACTGGGAGGAGACAATATAGGAAGAGAACTCACCATGGGTCGTGAGGCCCTCGGTGAAATGAACGAAAATGGTGAACTCTTCTCAGACTTCTGCGCGTTCAATGATTTGGTGATTGGTGGCAGTATGTTCAAACACAGGGATATACATAAGGCGACATGGATTTCACCAGATGGACACACCAAAAACCAGATAGACTTCATTCCAATCTCAAGGAAGTGGAGACGGAGCCTACTGGACACAAGGTCGAGGAGAGGAGCAGATGTGGGTTCAGACCACTATCTAGTACAAGGGACTTTCAAGGTGAAGCTGAAAGCCTCGGGGATAACTGGGGATAGGCCACAATGCAAGTTCAACACGCAAAAACTGATAGACACAATCACAAAGGACATTTCCACTGCAACGGTCAGAGCAGAGTAGGAAACACTTCATGGAACAATGAGGAATCATGCGAGGAAGACCATTGGAACTTTCTGAAGGTGATTTTCAACGAAACGTGTTAAACGGTTTTAGGAAGAAAGAAGAAACAAGAGAAGGAATGGCTCTCAACGGACACTTGGAAGCTAATAGAGGAGAGGAGAAAGGTGAAAGAGAAAATGATTAAATGCAAGGACGGACAAGAGAAAGAGACGCCGAGCTCAACTTTTACAGCACTGGACAAAGAAGTGAAGAAGAGTGCCCGGAAGGACAAAAGACAATTCGACGACAATCTGGCTACTGAAGCTGAGAATGCAGCAGACAAAAGGGACCTAAGGACACTATATCAGATAACCAAGTCTCTATCCGGGAAGAGATCAATACACGTGAAACCTATAAAAGACAGCCAAGGGAACCCAATCACCAAAGAAGAAAGACAGATTAAACAGTGGGCGGACCACTTCAAAGGACTCTTGAACCGACCACCACCTACAACCCGTCCAGGAATACCAACAACAGCACGTACACAACTGCAAGTTGACACCAATCCCCAGACGAAAACTGAAGTCATGAATGCAATCAAGCTTCTGAAAGCTGGAAAAGCAGCTGGACCAGATGGAATACCCCCTGAAGCACTGAAAGCGGACCCAGAGACGACAGCAGATATGCTGACCCCATTACTGCAAAAGATCTGGAAAGAGGGAAAGGTGCCTACTGACTGGAGGAAAGGTTACCTCGTGACGCTACCAAAGAAGGGCGACCTGGGACTCTGCAAGAACTGGCGAGGAATCATGCTCCTGTCGACGCCAAATAAAATCCTGAGTCGCATCATCCTGGAGAGAATAAAGGACGCACTGGATACAGAACTCCGACCAGAACAAGCTGGATTCAGGAAAGGCAAATCATGTTCTGACCAAATTGAAACTCTACGCATTATCATCGAACAAAGCATGGAATGGCAATCAAATCTCTACCTCAACTTCATAGACTTTGAGAAGGCCTTTGACAGCGTTGGCCGTGAAGTAATTTGGAAACTACTCGAGTACTACGGCGTACCCCAAATATTCATCAACCTTATTCAACAGCTGTACGACAACGGCACATGCCAAGTGATCCACAACAGAAAACTCAGTGAGGCGTTCAAAGTAAACACAGGAGTCAGACAAGGGTGCTTATTATCACCAATGATATTCCTAATTGTGGTGGACTGGATTATGCGTCAGACAGTGGGAAACGAGAAGACAGGGATATCCTGGACCGACGTGAAGAACCTAGAAGACCTGGATTTCGCGCGTGGATTATTTATGTTTGATGTCACACAAAATCGAAGACTTACAAGCGAAAACCGACAAACTGGTCGAAGAAGCAGCCATAGAAGACAGGACTCCAGGTGAACAAAGACTAGACGGAGGTTATGAAAATAACCAACCAACAACAACAACAACAACAGCAACATCCAGCGCCAATCACCATCAACGGAAGGGATTTAAAAGAGGTTACTTCTTTCACCTATCTAGGGAGCATTGTCTAAACTACAGGAGGAACGGACGAGGATGTCAAATCGAGAATCGGGAAGGCGAGAAACACATTCATCCACATGAAACCAATCTGGAAATCTTCGTCACTCAGCCTGCATCAACAACAAAATGATTCGGATTTTTAATACAAACGTCAAGTCAGTTTTGCTATACGGATCAGAAACTTGGCGGGTCACAAAGAATATTTTCAACAGGCTGCAGACCTTTATCAACAACTGTCTTCGTTCTATACTGAAGATCAGATGGCCGGAAAGAATCACTAACAAGAAGCTATGGGAAGAAACAAAACAAGAACCAATCGCTCAACAAATATGCAGGAGAAAGTGGCGATGGATTGGACACTCGCTGAGAAGGCCTGCTGGGTGACATCGCGTGTCAGACCATAGCTCGAGTGGAACCTGAAAGGGAAGCGGCGAGTGGGACGTTCAAGGTTGACATGGAGGAGATCGTGTGAAGAAGAGTTGAAACAGTATGGATTAACATGGACACAGGTGAAAAGTACAGCAGAAGACAGAAAAAAGTGGAGATGTGCAGTTGAAGGCGTATGTTCCACTAGGAACCCAAGGGAACAATAATAATAATAATCTAATGATGCAACGATACTGTTTTGTAGGACGGCTGCAGCATCTAAGGTGCTTCTACCCTATCTATATGCAAATTGTCTGGGGTCTTCAAAACTTTTAAGGGAGGGTTCAAGTTTAAGAAGCACTAGTTTGATGTTGATATGAACTCATATCACGATAGGAATTCATAATCCAAGTCTTTTTTTAAAGTTTATATTTTTGGGGAATACGTTTCCAGGCCACGAATTCTTTTTTTGCAGCACACATCTAAGTGGTATTATTCCTCTGATATTACAGTGAAACCAACAGATATCAGTGAATACCTGCCAGCCATTTGTTTACTGTTTCAAAGAAGGACATTTTATTCAGAACAGCATATATATTTATATTCAATAAGACAAAACTTCGCGTACAAAACAAATAAACCAGTAATACTCCTTCTCCATTAACAGATCGATGTTCCTTCCTAGAGCTTTGCTTCTTTGTGATTGATATAAACCTTGATATCTTGAAAAGAAAAATACAGGGTTGAGGGAAATCTTTCTATCGCTGTTTTAGCACATTAATGTAGCTGCGGGGGGGAGGGGCAGTTATTTCATAAATTCAGCAATAATTTACATCAACTTTTTCCTTTTATCAGATGAATAATACTTCCACGTTGAATTGATTCAGCACTTAACGGTCGTATACTTGTAGTCGATACGACAGTGTTATGAACACCAGTTTGCATTGTTGTAGAGCTTGGTGTAACTAAAGATGTTCGTTGTATGCTGGATACTGGTGTACTTCCAGTGGATTGCATTACCACAGAGGTTTTACTTCGTTGGGCTAAAGTTATTGAACGTTTACTGGTGGTTGGTTGAGATTTTGGGGAACGATTCTTTCTAAGAAGTTTTGCAATATGCTAAAATTGAACAAAACATGAGAAGGAAGAACAGAATGAGAATTCAGGTTAGTGAATACCGAGAGTGTTTGATATTTCTAAACAATTAGATGGTCGTTTGGAGGATTTCATCATGAGCTGAAATCAGTTAGAGAACCATTGGAAAACCAGCATTGGAGTACTGAATAACTGTTTCGTCATAGTTCGGGACTCATAGGAAGTACGCACCCCCCAAGTTTCGAACCCAGGACCTTCTAGTCACAAGGTGAGATCACAGATTATTAAGCCACTGGAACCCGATCCAGTGGTCAATCCATGAATTCTAACTACTGCCAATTCATGACCTATTCAGACAGTGACCTGAGGTTGAAGTGGGAAGCAGTGACCACTAGAGTGCAGCAGGTTGAAGGTGAGGTAGTACCTCATCGAAGAAGACATTGCAAAGTGACTGCCGAATGTCATGAATTGGCAGAAGTTAGAATTCATTGGCTGGCTACTGGATGTGATCCCAGTGGCTTAGTGATCTACTAGCTTGCCTTGTAGCCAGAAAGTCCTGGGTTCGAGTCCCATGGTGGGTGCACACTGCTGAAGAGTCCCAAACTAGCCTGGCGAAACAGCTGTTCAGTACGTTCTGCAGATTTTCCACTGGTTCTCTAACTGATGTTAGCTCATGATGAAATCCTCCAACCAATCATCTTTTGATGCACTCTCACTAGACTCATTTATGAAAGCGTCAGCCCGCTTGGCTTCATTTACTATGAACGTAACACAGTTGCATAAGTACTGGCTCACAGTTTGTTCAGCCTTTCTTGAAAAAAGCTTTTCCGTGAGGTATATACTTCATCACTTCATCTTAAGTTTTGTCAAATTAGATAGCCCATTTAACAACCTTTGTAGATACACTATAATTTGGAAAACCAAATATTCAGGTAAATTAAGGATATATTTTCTATTTTCCTATGGGATCCGAGTGAAAGATCTCCATTTTTTCCTGTTCCCTTCCGTCCTTATAAGCAGCTCCAACGGTTACCCGGGAGACTTCATTTTCTCTTCACATAATCCCTTATATTTCATCTTTAGAAGGACGTTTCCCACCCGAATTCCACTCAAGGGTTTGCCTGGTGTGTGGTCACACACCTACTTGTCTCCCCAAAAAGTGTTAGATCTTATGATGGAAAAATTACTTAGAAAATCCCTCTCGAACAATCTATAAATAGTCTATAATTTTAATGCATCTCTTAATGGTTAGTTTTGTGATAAATTGATAGCGTGTTGTTTTACAATGTGATTTTGTCTGGGTGAATGAAGGTAATTCTGTCCTTGGGCTGCTCTTAGGAGGTATTGGTGTGTGATTCTTGTTGACAGAGTTTTTGATTCCGACTTGGCGGTAACATTCTACTTGATTCCATGTACACGTTTTGTACTTAGACGGGACTGTGGAGTCATCTAACAGTACTGTCGAAGTCAGTTAGAGATGACGATGAATTGAGCATTTATAAGATACTTTGTTCGAAAATGGCTATCCCGACAAATTTATCGAGCAAAACATGACAAAGAAAGCGGAAAAAGACTACTCACTGTCTGTAAGCAAGAGGCCTTTATATATACAACAACAATTCATGGGCGATATACCAAGCGAGATAATTACGAAGAAATTAAGAAAATAAGTTCGAAGAACTTTGAATTCTGGCGAACTACACGTATTATTCTCTACAAGACCGATGGTGCTACCTCGACTGAAAGATGAAGTACCTAGACTAGCCACTTCAAATTGTATTTATCAATTCAACTGCGCTTGTGGAGCGAGTTCCATTGGCCGTTTCTCTAGGAACTTGATTTTCCGTGCCTGAGAACATATCCCACTATGGCTAAGTAAAGGTGTAGTTAAAACTATTAACAGCTCGATATTAGACCATCTGGTGCAAACGGGTCACAAAGCCAGCGTAGAAGAATCCTTCTCTAAAATATACCGGGTGCCTAACAAATTACCAAAATCGTCGAAGGACCGCATGCTTCAAACAGCAAAGGCTACTGCAATTCGCCTCAAACAACCAGTGCTCTGTGTTCAAAAGAAACAAGTCCAGCCCCTACTACTGCCCTGGCCCTCAATAGAAAGTATAAATTCATTCCTAATTCTTGTGACATTCAGTTTATTTTATGTTGATGCTGTTCAGCTGTAATTTATCAATATTATTGATTTGATGTTATTTAAACAACATTAATGTCGTTCATAACACTAATTCATTATAATGTATAAGTAATTGTAGAACCTGATCATGAATTTATCGAAAAGAGTATTCTTTGTTCAGTATCCATCTTTTATGTCGTTGCTGCCTAACAGAATCACAGATTCTAGCGAGAAGTAATCTTTAAGGACTAATTTGACATCAATGTTGAAAATCCGAGTTTTTTTCCTCATACTGAAGTGGCGTGCAGAAGATTTCCAAACTGGTTTCAGGTTGATGAAGACATATCACGCCCTTTGGATTCTGACCTGCCTTGATACCTTCATCCGTTCCAGCTTCCTGTGGTTGAAACCATGCTTTGTAGATAAATAAAGATGGAGGTGACCTCTGTTAGATCTCTCCCGTTGATGTTGATTGGTGCTGGTTGTTGTTTCTGTTGTTGCCTGGTTATCGTCATCACCTCCGTCTTCCCAGTGTTCACCTGGGGTCCTGTCTTCACTGGCTGCTTCTTCAGCCAGTTTGTTGATTTTCGCTTGCACGTCTTTGAGTTTGTGTGACATTAGACATATATCATTCGCGTGTGAAATCCAGATCTTATTGAAACTTCTTATCGATCGTCCAGCGAATTCCTAACTCCTCGCTTGCAACACACAGTCTGACGCATCACAATTAAGAATATCATCAGTGACAGTAGGCAGGGGCTCTGTTTTACTCTTGTATGCACGTCAAACGCCTCACTGAGTTTTCCGTTGTGGATCACCTGACACGTGCCAATGTCACATAGCTATTGAATGTAGTTAATAAAGACTTGAGGTACGCTGTAGTGTTGAAGTAGTTTACAAGTTACGTCTGTCTGACCACTCCTAGCTGTTTTCCACCCTAATTCAATGTCAGATAACGTTGCTCAGTACCAAATAAAATCCCCAACAGCCTTATTGATGATATATAAAACTGCTATTAGATGGTTAAAAGCAGTCGGCATGATGTCTTGAACCTAGGTTCCATGCTTTTTGGCACTCACCAGTAAGCAAGGTGGGCCCTCAACCTTGAAAAAATTCATATCTCTCTCTCAATATTTGAACTCTTGCTACCTAGTGCTGCAGTGGGAAACTTTACCACTGAGCTATTCGCGCTCACGATTCATCTCATGTTTGTCTCTAGTGGATATTTTGCGAACATGACTGATAGAACTCACTGTACACTAAAAAAAGGAGCAGATATATGACACTGCTTATTAACAAGTGTCCAATCAAAGGATGAATACAGCGCGCTTTTCGATTACTGCGCTACATTTGCATAGTTACATAAAACTCTGATTTTTGTGTAATATCTTGTCAAAAAGTTGCAAAAAACTATTACAATTATTTGACTTTGAAACACTGAATCTTTGGATATAATATTGTATATCAATTATACCTATTACTATCTATTTGCCACTCTGTGCTTGTTTAACACTAACTAATACCTATAATTGTATATATATTGATAGATTTACATGTTCAAGTTGGCTCAAGTCAGTGAGTCTATGATTTTGGTATCATTTTGGTTGAGTGTCCTTGACTGTGATGTTATTATTGTTATTGTTACCCTTCTTGTTGTGAATTATTTTCCTGTGCTGGTGTTGTTTTGCTTGTTTTATTCCCTGTTTTCCTGGTTTTAAGGGGAGCAACCCACAAGGTTGCTTCTCTCTAAATTATAATTTAATTTAACAATCCCCCTTTCTCAGGCGTGAGGCTAGCAACCCCACCCTGTAAACAAACCTGCTACAGTAACCAGCACGATGACTCTCTTTGAGACAAAAGAAAAAGTCTTTGTGGGGACATGGAATGTCCGTACTATGTACGAGATTGGCAAAGCTGCTCAGATCGCAAACGAAATGAAAAGATACAGAATTCAAGTACTGGGAATATGTGAAAGCAGATGGAACGGGAATGGAATCACCGAATTGTCGACGGGTGAGTCAGTGATCTACTCCGGTCACCCAGAAGATAACCACTCGCACACCGAGGGCGTGGCTATCATGATGTCACCAGCGGCAACGAAGGCTCTTATGCAATGGGAGGCGATCTCGCCCAGGATAATAACCGCCAGATTCAACTCCAAAGGAAGGAAAGTGCCAGGATACAATAATAATAATATGATACAATCAAAAGTTACCTATTACATAATTTATTTTTTGGATATGTGTTTCCATTAACATCCTATTTCATATTACGCAAACCCTGGCAGTACTTACTAATCCTCAGCCCTGCTAGTTACACACTTGATTACTCATCACATTTTAGAAACACTTTGATGACGTTAACAGTAACCCCAACTAATTTTTATTTTTGTCTGACAATCCTAATGTAGAAACACACACACATACAAAATAATTATATATAAATGCGATTGTACAGCTAAGTGAATAAATTCGCCTCCGAAAAGAGACTCTTCGCTGAACTTTGTTGTTCTTATATTCATGTCTGGATGGGTACTTTCCGTGAATATGCCATAATTGTTACATGCAATAACTCACACTGTGTTAACAAACTGAGCTGATAATCTATCGCGTTTCTATCACCGCGTAAAATTTACTCAACATCCTCACAGAGAAAGCTTTCAGTTGTGAGAATCTTACTCAGAGTACACTTTACGAACAAAGTAATTAAAATTAATAAAAGCGTATTGGAACAAAATAAATGACCAAAATAAAAATGTTTACCTTTTGCCAACTCGTTGGAAAAGCATTCAATAGGCAAGCAATAGTAATGAGTACTAAACTTGAAATTTGCACAGAGGACATGATAAATTTTTGATGTGTCCAAAATAATTCATAAGCTATTAGGAAAATAATAATAATAATAACAGTAGTGAGTCATTGATATAAGAATAAAACTTGGGCACTGTGGTAGAGTGTAATTCCATTATGGGTAAATTTTTATTTTGATAGAGTCTCACAGTGTTATACATTAATATTTACTGATGACGTTTCGAGCACAAACTATTGATCATAATCATATCAACTTGATATGATTATGAGAGATAAAATTATTGCCATTTACAAAATAAACTGTATGAACTGTAACAGACATTACATCGGCCAAAGTGGGCGTCCCCTTCGAATCAGAATCCAGGAACACAAATCAGCAGTGAAAATGCATGATATTTATTCTTTAGTATCAATGCATATAGACAATTATGGTTATCAATTTGATTGGGATAATGTCGAAATCTTAGACAGAGGAAACATCAACCAGGGAATTCCTAGAAGCCTGGTACTCAAACGAATATGCAATTAACAAACACGTTAATATAGACGAAATATACCAACTAATAAAAAGTAAATCAGGTGACCAGAAAGTTTAAAATCCAAGTCAATAGAAAATGGTCAATACATATGTAAAGATGGTTACCAGGATACGCAATTATATCACTCACTCATGGAAAAAATTTAAATCATTTCACTTTATGCTAAATATTGCGCTGAAGATGTTTTCCAGCAGGGGGACGACGAAAGCTCCCCAAGTAAACCAACCAGCTCAGAGAACACTAATAATTGCAAATCATCCATCTGAGCTACAAACCTTCCCTATTATGAGGATAATTTGTCAACAGTCTAACAAAATAAAATTGGGTTTTGCTCGAATGTCTGCGATTTCTCTGCTTAGAGTCGTTAGTTATGATAGGAACCAGTTTGAAATAGTATATCATCCTTTCTAATGCATAGTGTGATTGATTGTTTGACCATCACTCATTTCTCACGGTTGTGAGCTGACTTTCTTGTGGTAAAGACAACGTATAAATATGACGTGTTATTCGCCTAATAAAGATGCAGTATCTTACAGTCACACAGGCCAGCCTCTGTACTTTTTTATTTGCTTGGCTCAGTGGATCAGAAGGTACAGCAGACGGATAGGCGCATTAGCATACCAGTCGAGTTCATTACCCAGTATAACAATTAGCAATGCAGATATAACAAGTTTAGTATCTTTTTTATCGTGGTGTGGGAGATTCACTTGATTTTGCAGTTCACAGTTGACCTATGTCTTGCTCATTTTGAGTGTGGTGGTATGATACGGATAATGTACTTCAACGGTGTATTATTCCCACATATTCCAACAGTTATATACTGCATTAGCAACAGAATACTATGTATATTTGAACATTTTATTTCATGTCGTTTAATGTGAGCCGAAAGCTCACGCTCAGCGATTCCTTATTGAATATAAACTGTACATATTCAAATAGCGGTTCAATCACTTGAAAATATAACTTGGCTTCCATGTCTTGACTTTGCTGTTGCATTTAGTGTTGCTGCCAGTCGAAAAATGGAAAGCCTATGCCCTGCACTTTTTGAAGGAGACATGTGGATCTTCTGGTAGGACTTCGAGGCTGTTACGCAGTTGAGTGGCGTTCAAGATCCGGTGGCGATGAGGCTTTTACTTGGAATGCTGCTGAGAGGTCCGGCGAAGGCAACATATGATAGTGTGAGGCAAAACACTGGTGAATACGCGTCAGGGTCAGGAGAACTGCTTTCAAATTATAAAGGAGCATACACAGTCACAGTGTGCTGGGGTCACATATATACCATCAGAAATGCAAACAAAGAGAAGCAGGTGAACGCAAGCGAGCTCCAGAAATGGACACAGTAAGACAAGCAAACAAAAGGTGACAGCAACAAGAAGACCGAACCGACTTCAGTCTAAAGTATTTGACGGGTGACAAGTGCGGTGGTGTGACACAGACAATATGTGTCAGCAGAATATAATTCTCATATATTCCCATAGTTCAATTCGGTATTATCAACAGAATACTATATATCTATTTGAACATCCTATTTCATGTCGTTTAGTGTTAACCAAAATCACACGCTTAGTGATCGGTTGCTGCTGCTGGATTCAACATAGAACTTGGCACCGAAGTGCAGCAGTTTCAGTTGCCACGTTCCAAATACCACACAAAGGTAGACAAGAAAATGAGTGGAGAGAATCAATAGAGTTTTGACAAGTATAAGAGTGAAACAGAATGAGTAATGGTAGAAAGGAATATGAAAGATTACAGAGACTGAATACATCTGCGTAAGCCATTGACAACGATTTTGAGCCATGTCACCTATTGTCTCCAGCCATTGATTCTTAGAGTCCCCAGGGCGGGCCCCAACCCAGAAGTTTGCATCTCCCTACCTGACTCAGTTTAATTGTCGGGTATTTCATGGATTGATGCCATGTTTTTGTTTGGCCACCACTTACTCTTTTCCAACCTGCACCTATATCAGCTAGTAATGCCCGTCGGGGGAGGCCTCTTCGATTGATTTTCCCTCTTTGCCCAACACTCTACGTCTAACGTCAACACTACTTACCTTATTATGCCGCCTAACGTGAGAAAGAGATCGTAAACATCTATGATCAAAAACCGTCCCTTGGTTGATAGCCGGATGTCACGCCTACGCCAGAGACGGTGTAAGTTAGCGAAAGGAGCCCGAGCTTTATGGATCTGTGCTGAGATTTCGTCACCAATCAATCCGTTGGTGCTGATACAACTTCCCAAATAGGTGAAGTGGTCAACATGTTCTTTCACTTCACTCCCTATCACTTAGCTAGGAGCTGACGTAGTCCAGTCCTGTAGCAGCATCTTAAATTTTACAGGGGCGAATCGCATACATACGAAGATTGCTGCTCGAGGTGTTCAGAAGACTCTGCATTTCGTCAGCATCCTCCCCTAACAGGACTATATCATCTGCATATTCTAAGTCCATAAGACTATTCCCTGGTACCAAGTAGATTCTTAAGTCGTTAATTTCAGTTAATGATACTTCCATTAGCATATCTATGATGAAGTTAAACAGAAAAGGGGAAAGTGGACATCCTTGACTGACACCACTGGTTGTTATCAATTCAGACGACAATTCCCCATAAGCCTTTACATGGCTACGTGGGTTTGAGTAGAGCGCCTTGATTAGTGCAACGTACTTTCTTGGCTAAAGAATGTTAACTGCGTAGATATATAAACAGTGGTTTGATCAATGAAAATATACCTTAGCATCCGTGTTTTGCCTTTTGCTGTTACAATAGTAGTTAATACAGTTTTGTGCAGTCAGGAATATAATGAAAAAGCTTATTAACTAGATTGGAAGGTATCCTTAGTCATAGGCAACAATGAAGCATCTAAAAAGAGTAACTAAATGCAAGACACACCTTCAAATCAGTGTGGAAATCTAATTTACTCAGTATAAAAGACAAGATCCAGATCTTGAATACTAACGTCAAGTCGACCACTACCTTCTATTTAGTTTAGAGACTCGGCTTGCCACCAGGAGCATTTCCAACTTCCTACTGCTGATTTCACCAACAACTGCCTTCGCTTTGCACTGAAGATGACATAACTGGTTAGGATAAGTGAATAGGAACTCGGTGAAGCAGAGAATCAACTGAGAATTCACTGCTCAACAAATATGTATCAAAGGAAATATTCCTAGATTGGATATATATAGACTGTTGAGTCACATCGCTTGTCAGTCCCTCAAGTAGAAACTGGATGGGAAACGACGAGCTGTGTATGGGTCCACTCGTTACAGAGAGAGGATCGTGTGAGGAGGAAGTGATAGCTTACGTTTAGTGACGGAACCAAGTAGAGGAATCTGCAGAGGTCACAATGAGATGTCGATGTTTTTCTGAAACCCTTTGTTCCACTCAGAATCAAAAGGAATGATAGTAGTATGTGTCAACCTTGGTCTCGTCACCAATCGGAATCATTCAGATAACTCCTTGAAAATCAGGGAGTACTTGATAGCCGCATCATTCTAGTCTTTGATTCATTAGGGATGCGCACTCACGATTTCATTAGAAATCAAGGGAACTCCTAGATCATTTGGCTGGTAGATTAGCATTCGTTTACTGGGTTGGAAATCGATTACACATGAATTAAAACTCCTCATAATAGCACTTTAAATTAAAGTCTGTCAGTATGACCTATCTGGGTCACTGTAGGAAAAATATCAAAACCCAAAAGGGAAATCTACCAAATTACTTTGAACAACAGATAATATTCCTGTTCTATCAATATGGATGTTAAATAGGAATTATGTTGCTGTTCTCATTCTTGATCTAGTATAGGAAGGAGAAAAGCTTACTGCCTTGACTGAGGTAAATACAATAAAACCTGTTCCAGCTTGTTCACGTAAATGAAATGGTTTTAACTAGACTCCAAAACAATCGTCGTTATAGAATAGCCAATCAGATTTAGGTACATGGACACAAAAGAAGGAAGAAAATATTCATCGAGAGTATTGAGAACAGGAGCTTATGTGTCTTGTTACAGATTATTGATTATCTAGTAAGATCCAGAGTTACCGTAAATAAAGACAAGTGAAGAGAAACCTCACAACAAGCTTCTGTCGGATATATATATATACCATTCGCAATTAACAGTGTTCTCTGAGCTGGTTGGTTTAGTTGCGAAGCTTTCGTCGTCCTTCTGGACAAAATCTTCAGCGCCATATTTAGCACAAAGTGAAATGATTTAAATTTCTTCATGAGTGAGTAATAGAATTGCGTCTCCTGGTAACCATCTTTACATATTTATTGACCATTTTCTATTGACGTGGATTTCAAACTTTCTAGTCACCTGATTTACTTTTTATTAGTTGGTATATTTCATCTATATTAACGTGTTTGTTAATCGCACATTCGTTTGAGTATCAGGCTTCTAGGAATTCCCTGGTTGATGTTTCCTCTGTCTAAGATTTTGACATTATCCTAATCAAATTGATGACCATAGTTGTCTGAATGGATTGATACTAAAAAATACATATCATGTCTTTTCACTGCTGATTTGTGTTC